GCCAAGATGCTTTTGTCTGCCCAGGGACTTTAACTCTAGAATGTTTGAAATGATTGGCTGGAGTTCTGAAGACTGTCTTACATTCTCTTAGCACCAAAATTTGTAGCCTACAGACATGGCTCCTGAAAGCAGTATGGTACTCTAGGCTCTTACTGCCTAGGACTGGAGTTCAGAGCATTCATTCATTTCCTAAGCTTTAGCTACCAGGACCTTAGGTTATCTTAGAAATATGACAAATGGATCAATATGCTCATGGCCACATTTGCTGATTTCCTTCTTTCCACATCTTGCTTCTGTGAAAGAAATGAAAAACCTCCTGCCGTTGCTTGAAAGAGGTGCCATCCACTGATAGCAGGAAGAGTGACTGTGTATAGCATTGACTCCCATCCCCTCAATGTGGATAGCCTCAAGGCATACTCAGATCTTCCATGGCAGGGTAGCCTATCTATATCCCAGTGGAGTACAAGGCTGGGGGCAGTGGCTTGCCCCTATAATCCTAGCACTCTAGGAGGCTGAGGTGGGAGGATCTCTTGAGCTCAGGAGTTTGAAGTTACTACGAAGTAGGCTGAAGTCATGTCACCTCCAGCTTGGGCAAAAGAGTGAAACTCTATCTCAAAGAAACAAACAACAAAACCCCCAATGGTATATCAGATTCCAGACTAGGGCAATGATTATCTTGGGCTTCAAGGCAGCTTTGAAGAACAAAACTCTATTTGTCTCAGTTCCTTTATTAACCTAAGCCTTCTATCTTAGCAGATATGACTATGACTGCCCTCAAAAGGAGGGTAGGCACAGATGACAATATTCTACCCCCTCACCCCCAATCAATCCATACATATGGGTATATGTGAAGATACTGGTCACTCATTAATTACTGTCCACTGTTTTCCTGATTTGGTCCTATCTGGCTAAAGACCCAATCATTCACTGAAACCTTCAAGACTTTCTTTGTACTTTTGCCTAAGACTTCTATCAGATCTTATTCTGCCTATCTTCCTATTGTCTGAAATTACAGACAAAATGCTATTCAGAAAGAAACTGTTTTCAGACTGAGCTTCCCTGCCCACACAGACTGAGCTTCCCTGCCCACACGTGAGAATGAAATGCAGTCTAACTTGTGACAAAGTCTCAATTTAAATGAATACAATACCTCAGTCACAGCTATAGCCTAAGCCCCTCCAGTTTACGCAGAACTTATCAGGTTTATCTTGGAGGGGCCTAAGGACTCTTACTAAAGAACAACTGGCAATTTGCACAGATTACTGTAGTTTTAACGTGGTTATTGTCTTTGCCTATTATCTGCCCCCACTGACTCCACATTCCCTGGATCAGCTGAGTTATGATTCTTT